GGCCGCCCGCCTCACGGGGCGGGCCCCGTCTCTTTCGGTCGGGGGGCCAATCGCACACCCGAGCCCCGAGCCCCCCGCCTCGGTCCCCAGCGTCCGGCTCCGTGAACCCGAGCCCAGACAGACCCCGCCCCTCCAACGCGCCACGTTTCCCTGTCCTGAAGGCCGCAACCTTGTGACCCTCAAAGGATTTGGATTACGTCCTAATGTCCTCAACACCCCCATCTGTGTCTGTAATTAATAGGATGAGTTCCAATCCCTCCTGAGAAGGTTGGGGGCTGGGAAAGCACGAAGTCTTGAAAGGGCCGACCTGAACCAGTCTTCACCTCACTCGACTCCACACACGACCCTTCCCGGTTTTCGCAGGCGGTGTATCTCTTTCCCCTGCGATCACCCACTCCCCAACTCAACCCTACCCTTGTGGGTCTCTGCCAATCTTACTGGTTCCCTGCTCCTCCTGGTTCAGCCCACTCATTACTCTCCATTTTGAAAAAAGAGAGGGGAGCTGAATGTAGTTTTCTCCATCTGATTTATTTCAAGAGCCCTGCTTCCTTTCTCCTTCCCTCTGTCTCTGTCCCCAGGCTGTAACCCTCTCCAGGAACCCTCCTTCCTCTCCTGGGCTGTCCTCCTCCCTCAGCCCGCCTCCCCTCAGACCAACTTGCCAATTACTCACCTGGGCGTGCTGGACACCTGTCTCCTCCGGGCTCCCTGGGTAGTAGCTGTGGGGCCCCTCAGCAGGTACTGGGCCCTGACCCTGCAGCAGCTCCACGGCCTCTTCAGGACTCAGCCCCAGCGCCTCCCCAGCACCCAGCTGCTGTTGCAGGGTGGCCAGCCAGTACAGCTCCTCCAGGCCTGGCCGGGGACCCTCGGTCGCCCCCACCATGCCTGGTTCACTGAAGGTGGGTGAAGGAGGCACTGAGCTGTAAGGTGTGGAGCCCAGCGAGGCCGTTGGGGGGCCAGATCGCCCCTCGGAGGGCTCCCGCTTTACCTCAAACTTCATCAAGTCAAAGTCATTGACATATTCCATGGCCAGAGGGCTAGGGGGAAGCGCCATGCTGGGGCTGGGCTGGGAGGGGCGCACCTGCAGAAAGGAGGAGAGGTCTGGAGCACATGGAGGCTGCCTGCCATGCCCTTTTCACCAAGTCCCTCTTCTCCCAAAGCCCAAGAACCCTGGAGCCAGAGTTCCGGAAAACCAGAGTGCTGATGCAGCCCTGTCCCCTGCATTGTCACCTCCAGGCTGGGGGCAACCTTTCACAGGGGAGGGGCTCCTGACAGAGGACAAGGCAAGCAACTGAAGGTCTGAAGGAGGAAGAGGACAGTGTAGCCTCTTCCCCAAAGGTGCTTCTGGGATCTACGAAAAACAAGAGCAACATGGCAGAGTTCCTAATCCTAGTGCTGAGACATGCTGAGAGGTCTGTCATCTCAAGAGGCATCATTCCATTTCCAAGCAATTTTTAAAAATTCTTAATTAACTGTGACAGAGAGTATGTGTGTATTTTAGGACAGTGGGAAGGCATGTATGCCGTCAATTTTAAGATTTAAGTATAATGTGCTGTTAAATCTCTCTATTTCTCAAAGCTCTCAGGACAGTGCCTTGCTTACAGAAGACCCTCAGCACACATTTGCTCTATGGATTAATCAAACAATGAATCCCTTTTATAGGGGCAAGAGCCTTTATGGAGGGGAGGAAGGTCCTAGAATTAGTTCTAGAAAGATCAGGACTGAGTGGCCACCATCTTTTCTCAAGGCCAGTCTCTCCAAGGAGAACTGATCAAGATTGAGTTTCCTTATTCTACTCAGAACATGCTGTTGTGTGAACGTAAGCAGATCATCTTCACCTTTGTAGCCCATTTTCTCTTTTGTTCAATGAGAGCAGCTAGATTTGTATAGCATTTCCCAAAGAGTGTTCTGTAGATCACTAATTCTGGGAAATACCCAAAAAGAGGTCTGTGCTCAGATAATCTTGAGAAATGTTACCTCCAATTCCCCACCTCCAGCAGATTCACAAAGCACAAGAGCATATTGATTTGAGAAGTCCTTCAGTTAATCATCTGTTCAATTTCAACATGGAGTTTGTCCCAAACTTATGTCACCAAGAAACTCTCCTCTCTGCTATCAACCGTGGGGCATGTATTCACCTGAGGAACTTCTGGCTAGATGACCTCAGAAATCCTTCCCAGCCTGGAATTCCCAAGCTCTAGCCCAGCTCCCAATTTCAGCAGCCCGAACTTGCCCCAGAAGGAGCAAGGCAGGGAGTGCTCATCCCCAGGGCTTAGACTCTGATTCCATCTTGATGCCCCAAGCATAGTTAGTCCTCCTTCCAACCACATCTCAGACCACCAGGCTCTGCCGGGAGAGTGGGAGGAAGCCTCTGTCTTTGTGTCCCAGGGAAGAGTTGCTGTCCTTTCTATTGAACCCTTTACCCTTGAGAGAACAGAGGGGATGAAAACAAAGACACAGAGTGAAGGAACTGGGCCTTAGCAGGAAGGAGATGGTGAGACACCGAAAGGGGTGTCCAGAGAGAACTGGATGTACAGGGAAGAGGTAAGTGGGAAGGGTTGTTTTTCTTTCTGATGTGATAGCAGTCAAGGGACACAAACCAGTCAGGATGGGAGTGGGACAGGGCACAGAAGTGTGAGGATTCCTAAAAACAGAAAAGAGATAACAGATAGCAGGTGTCAGATGAGGGGGCTGGAGGTGAGAGGCCTGGCACCCAGGTAGGCCCCGGACATACTCACTTCAGGGATGGCAGAGACGATGTGGTCAGTGCCAGAGCCAGGCAGGCACAGCTTCCCCAGAGACTGGAGGCTCCATGGAGCAGGGCCTGGTGCCTCTGTGCTCAAACAAGGGGGCTGTGGGCACAGAGCCCAAGGGGCACTCTTAAAGGGCCAGCTCTCTGAGGTCATCTGTGGTCCTAGGCCTCCAACCAATGAGGTAAGAAGATCATTTGCATATCTCATTGGCCTGGGGGGTTGCGGGGAATACAGAGGACAAGCAGGCCTGTTCTCAAAGGAAAGGGGGTGTCTCCTCCAACAAAGCTGGTGATCCAACCACCCTGTGCTCAGAGACTCACATGGGCCCCAACCACTACCCCTCCAAGTGAACACAACCCTCAGCTCTAGCCACTCAAAGCCTGGGGCTGAGAAAGAGCGTCAGACAGGCTCCAGCACCCCCACCTTCCAAAGATCCATGGCCCTTCCTTCATCAGTGTCTTTGGAGAGTACAAACTCTCCCGAACCCACTCTCACCTGTTCTGTTGAGTCTGTTTCCTGTTTTCAAGAATCCTCACATTTCTGCCCCTGCCACCCCCCTTCACTCTCATTGGCCTTATGACCTTTATGGCCATCACCTCAAGAAAAAAAGCAACTTTCCCTACAGGGAATTTCTAGGACTTGACCATCAGATCCTCAACTTTTCTCTGTCTTGCTGACCCAGCCCCATGATAGGCAGTCCAGCTTAGGAAAAGAGAAAACGAGGAACCCTGCTCCTTCCTTCCGGGCCACCACAGGACACTGAAATCTAATCATCACCAGTCCATCAGAGACTCTTTTGTAACTGCCCTCACACGCCCTCTGCTTCCTCTCATGTTTTCCCTGTGTGTGTCTTGCCCCTCTCTCCTCCTCTCTCACTCATTCTGGTTCCCAGATGGTTGAAGGGTGACCTACATTTTCAGTCTAATCCCCTAACACCTCTTAGCGCTATCATCCCCAAGTAGGAGTTGGAACCGAGATACTAGGAATTAGCCAAGGAGATATTTAAACCTGTCCGAAGCTGTTTAAATAGGGTCTGTACTAGAATAGAATTCTAGCAGTTAAGGCTATTCTTTACCTTCTGAGGACACCCAAATACTCCCATGTGGTTAATAGGTCCTCTTTCCCAACCCAGAGAGAGAGACCTGGGTGCCCATCAGCCCCCAGGGTCATCAGCTATAAAAATTAGCCTGGTCCCAGTTTTAGATGTTGGGCAAAAGCTGGTAAATACAGATTATCTAAGATAGTGATTTTCAAAGTGTGGTGCCCAGGCCAGCAGCATCAGTGTCACCCAGGAATTTGTTAGAAAAACACATTCTCTGGTCTCATCTCAAACCTACTCAATCAGAAACTCTGGAGGCGGGGCCCAGAAATCTGTGTTTGAACAGGCCCTCCAGGCAGTTCAAACGTGCAGGAAAGTTTGAGAACCACTGGTCTGTAGAATGCCTGTAGTCAACTCTGCTTCCATTGGGGGGGGGAGGCGTGTATGCACGTGGGCGGGCACTTTCTCCTACCATGCTCTCTACACACACTAGAAAACTTAATCAGATGACATCACCCTCTTTCCACACCTGGGCATCTCTTTCATGGAGCAGAGACCATCATCGGCATTCAAGTAGAAAGGCTGCTCTGTGTGATTTCCTGGATCTAGTGCAGTTTTCTCATAAGAATTTTTTCTCCAAAAAAAAAAAGCCTAAGGCCTGGGAACCAATCATAAAATAGGAATGGGGCTCATGAAAACAGGAGACCCCCCTCCACATGCCCATGGGATGTAGTTCTAAGGAGGACAATCAGGAAACAGACCCTCAAGTTTCCCTAGTTGAAGAAAGAATGGGAAGTGTTGCATGCAGCCCCCTTTCCATGCCTTCTCCGGCCTGGCCAGACACTTGCCCCCACCCAGCAGCTGTCAGGTCTGCACTGATCCTCTTGTTTACTGGAGGGCTCAAAGGAGAGGTGGGAGGGCTAAGCTGCTAACGGGCTAAGGGAGTCAGACTAAACAAGCTCAGGCGAGTTGAGCTGCTCATGGCTCAGACTAGGCACCACTAGCCAGGGAAAGGAGTCAGGGGAGTGAGGGCTGGACTCAGGCTGGGCCAGAGGAAAGGACCAAGGGCACAAAGGAGAAGTGCAGCAGCCAGTGGGGACTACCCATCCCAGGAGAAGTCTTGGAGACTGGGAGATGGATACTGAGAATGACAGACTCAAGGACATCTGGAGACAGGGAAATATGAATAAAAAAGAGAAATGACAGAGCAGAGGAAAAGAGGCAAGGAGACTTGCAAAGAGGCAGTAGGTGTAGATCTGGGATAGAGGACAGGACAAGTCAGAGGCTCCATGGATATTTGAATTAAATGAGACAGAGGGATTTAGGAACATGGAAGAGATGAGCAAAGGGCCACGGGGAACTAAAAGAGAGAAAGTCTTCTGGGAGGGGACCTAGAAGGAATAAGGGACAACAGGAGAAGTGGAGAGGAGTAAGGGACTAGAGGAACAAAAGTGGGAGAAGGAAGCGACAGAGAGATGTAAGATTGGGGAGCAAAGCCTAGAAACCAGTACAAAGAAACAGACACATGGACAGGCCACAAAGGAAGCGCAATGGCCACAGGACAGAACGGTGAAAAGATATGGAATGATGGATATTGGGCCATGGGAAAAGAGGGCCAGAAAGCAAACGGCATGCAGGAATAGAATAGAAAACAAAGAGGAGGGAAAGGAGATGAGACAGAGTCAACATCCCAGGACACTACCCCTACCTCCTCTGCCCTGTAGCCTTGTTTTTTGGAACTCTGTAAGACTGGTTCTCGGCTGGGCTTTGTGGCTCAGCCTGTCATCCCAGCACTTTGGGAGGCCGAGGGGAGTGGATTGCCTGAGCCCATGGGTTCGAGACCCACCCAGCCCACTTGGCGAGACCTCGTCTCTTCAATAAATCAAAAATTAGCCGGGCATGGTAGCACACGCCTGTAGTTCTGGCCACTTGGAAGACTGAGGCGGAAGGATCACCGGAGCCCAGCAGGTCGAGGCTGCCGTGGCCAGGAGCGGCCACTGCACTCCAGTCTGGGCGACAGAGTGAGACTCAAAAAAATAAATAAATAAACCAAAAAATTTTTTAAAAAAGACTGGTTCTCATTCCTCGTTCTGGCTCTTGTTGTATATATCTCCAGCAATGGTCCAAATCCTCAAACCTCCTCCTGGTGTACCTCCCACATTCATTTGACAAACATATTAAACACCTATTCTGCATTGGTCACTGCACTAGGCATTAGGGATTTCTCAGTAACTTAGTCTGATACCAGCCCTGCCTTCATGGAACTTACAAACCAGTGAAATGGAGAAACAGAAAATCATTGCCCTTACACCCAGGCAAGAATGGCCCCTGCTCTGGGTCCTGTGTTTTAGCAGTTTCCATTCTGGCCTTTCTCTGACTGTGTCCCACCCCATGGGTGAGAAATCCAACTCTCTGCTGCTCATACTCCAATGCCCTCAGATCGCACACCAGATATCTAGGAATTGCCTGCCCAAAGGATCAAAGCCCACTCCTAGGACCCACATGGGCTTCTTCCTGGGTTTGCCCTCTTACAGCTGGATCACAAGACTGGTACACACATTCTGAGGTCCAAAGGGTGGCTGCTTGCAAGAGGCTGTGGATGGACTTGGGATGGGCATATGGGAGATCCACATGGTTGCACACAAAGCAGTCCAAGATGGTGTCACGGGTAAGAAGAGAAGCGGGCCTAGCTGAGGGCCAGTGGCCGAAATTGTCTCTCCCTACACCACCACATTCTAGTGCATATCCCGAAGATTCCAAATAAAATCCAAATCTGGGCTGGGGAATGTGCTGGCCTGTAATCCCAACACTTTGGGAGGCCGAGGTGAGAGGACTGCCTAGGCCTAGGAGTTCAGGACCAGCCTGAGCAACATAGCAAGACTCCGTCTTTATTCTAAAAATAAAATAATAAAAATTAGCCGGGCTCGGTGGCTCAGCCTGTACTCCCGCGCCTTTGGGAGGCTGAGGTGAGTGGATTGCCTGAGCCCGCGGGTTTGAGACCCGCCTGGGCAGCGAGACCTCATCTCAACAATAAATCAAAAAATCAGCCGAGTGTGGCAGCGTGTGCCTGTAATTCCAGCTACTTGGAAGGCTGAGGCAGAAGGATCGCCAGAGCCCAGCAGGCGAGGCTGCGGTGGCTGGGAGCGGCAACTGCACTCCAGTCTGGGCGACCGAGTGAGACTCCAACTCAAAAATAATAATAATAATAATAATTAAAAACCATTCAAACTGAGATGAGTGTGCTATGAAGGGGAAAGACAGGGTGCTGTGAGGTTTGTTTCATGAAGAACTAATCTAATAGATGTGGAGTTGGGGATGGGGGTACATTGCAGGGGCAGGTTGCCTAAGGAGGTCAGGTTAAACTGCGACTGGTCAGGTGAATAAAATGTGACCCTGCCTGGAGATGTGGAGAGGGAGGGAATTCCAGGCTGTAGGAACAACATATGCAAAGGCTCTGAGGCAGGAGAGGTAGACATGTCCACGAAACAAAAAAGATCAATGTAGCCAGAGAGTAGAAAGCAAGGAAGGTGGAAAGAATGGTGATGGGTGAGATTGGAGAAGTCAGCAGGGGCCAGAATGCAGAGCCTCATAAGCCACATTAAGGACTTAGGCTTTGTTCTAAGAGCAGGGAGAAGCCACTAAAGGGTTTTCTGCAGAGATATTATGTGCTCAGATTTGTGTTTGAAAAGATCAGGTCGACATTTCATGTTTGTGGAGGAGGGTAACCATGGGATCAGAATCAGATTCGGTGGCTAATGCAGTATCCAAGTTGAATCTGAGGAATAGCTGCAGCTGGAAACACACTCCGAGATAAAACTTGTGTACAGGTAGCTTACTGGGAATGCCTTTTGAAGAGAGAGAAGCAGGCCTGGAGCAAGGGAAAAGTTGAATCACATTTGCTGTTACAATCAGCTGAGCCCAGAACTCTGGGGCTGGGATGAACCGTCAGAATTGTCCCAAACCGAGGCAAGGAGGTTCAGCTACTGTACTCCTATAACAACCAGTTAGTGGCCACACACTGCCCCCAGGAAGGGGACATTGCGTTTGGCTAGACAGCTCCCTTCAGCCACAAATAATGCTCAAGGAAGTACTCAGCTGTGAGCCACCAGCAGCCAACACTCAGTGGCTGGGACAATGAGCACCATGACCTTGAAGGGGGGCTCTGGGCAGCG